ATTGTTCGCCGTATTATAGAAGAGTTTAGTTTTCACCTCGGTTTTCACTTTCCCATCTGACATTTTATCGAAATTGAGCATAAGGTTAAATTGCCCAACACTTAGGTAAATTGAAACAATTATTATTAGTGCAGTGAATCAGGCAAAGGCATTTAATTTTATTTTTCAACACAAAAATTCCTTTTGCAACCATTTTAAACGAGTGCACTTGAAAAATTTCTTAGAGAAAATGGATTATTTCGACACGAAATTCTTGAACTCATTAATGAAATATGTGTTATGAGTGTGCCTGTTTTATTTTGTAATCCTATTACGAGCTGCGTAATTGAAAAATATATACATTTCGTGGCATATTTAGTATAACTATTAATAAAACCGATCGGAATAGTGTCAATGGAATGTTATAACTGAAAAAAAGTGCTGATTACGAAATTTTATCCGCGTTCAAATTAGTCGTGGAAAGTGACCAGATTAGAAGTATTTTTTACAAGAGTAAGAATTATTTGATATGCATGTTGCTTTTTAATCATGATCCAATTTTGCGACTTGCTGTTCTCAATTTATATCGCCTTAAATAGATACAATGTTAGTGAAAGTTTTGCACTGCATTCGATTATAAATACATCGTTACGACTCGTTTACTATAATGGAAAACTTTTGGCCACTATGGCTGATTCATAAATTAAGTTTAAATTACAAATCAAGTTCAACATCTCCGTAAATTTAGAATAATGGCAATGTCACTAAGACGATAATTTTCTGACAGTGAAAAATGATGCAGGAATAAGATTTGACCAGAACAAGTTTCGGTACATTCAAGGGCACTGGACTTGTAAGAAATACCAGAGCCTTTCAGAAAGTTCTTCGTCTAAAACACAAGTGGCGCTAAACTGAAAGTACACCTGTGTTGCTTTATAACCACTTCCTTACCGTAATATTCGTTAAGCATATTAAAATATATATATATATATATATATATATATATATATATATATATATATATATATATATATATATATATATATATATATATATATATATATATATATATATATATATATATATATATATATATTATATTTAATATGTAAACATGCTGTTACCACTAATTCTAATTACATCGATTCACCTATAAATAACAAAAACTACATACTTGTTTCTTTGAATGTTATTTCTTTATACAAAAATATTCCGAAAGACCTTGCAATTCAATATATCGAAGAAGAGTGGCATGAAACTAAGAGGACTTCAATGAAGGTGTTATGTCTTAGTACAACATTTTGCAGCAATCGGATCACCGATTTCTTCTTATATTTGTTTGAATTCTGTCCCTTTATTTCTATAAAACATGTGTTGATAACATTTTGTGTATTCCTGCCAACAAATTAAATTACACCCATGTACAAATATTTTTTATCATAAGTAGGTTTTTCTGGTACTTTGGTACTTTGCCCGTGTTGTACTACGACAGTTTTGGGTTGACCAAATGTCTACGAAGTAAACTTTTTTTTTTTAATATGACAGTATATTTTATTATATTTAAAATAAAATAAATTATTAATACAAATTAATTAATTTTATTGAATAATTTTGGCTCTGGCAGATCTAGGTATGACTGCTTGATGTACTTTGATGGTAACATATACACACGGGCAACAGTCTTCTAAAAAAATTTTTTGACATATTAAACAATACCAACCCTAAATATAACTGGGCTGATGAAAGATGTTGACAGGACAATCAACTCAAATTGTGCCCTTTAAGCTTACCATATTTGAACCGTTGAAAGGAGATTATTCAACATATAAAATTCAAATAATTTTATAGACTCTTTAAATAACTTAACCCCCGGTGTAGTTGAAAAGAATGCCTGACATTTACTTTCAAATTTAAGTTTTTCATTTTGGTTTTGCGCTGATTTTTTTTAAATTTTCTATGTATATCAATATGCATTTATTATAACTTGCGTCATCAGGTTTGTTTGGATTGTTAGTATGCGTATTATTTGACAGAACCCTTGATGTATGAATTGTACAATAATAAAAATAATTCCACCTGAATGTGTATGTATTGTATTTATTTTATAGAATTTGTTTTGGATTTTGTTTTCCACCGTTGCATCTTGGTGGCTGCTACAAAGGTTGCATCATAAAGCAAATTTATGGCTACAAGTAGATCGTTCGATTAAATTTCCAGATAATGATAAAAAAAGAAAATTGATTGATGAAATTATACGTGTTATGCTGTGCATTCAAAATAATTTAAACACACAGAAACGTATTTGGACAAATGACTTAACCGCAGTCTAAAGTCAAAATTATATATATATATATATATATATATATATATATATATATATATATATATATATATATATATATATATATATATATATATATATATATATATATATATATATATATATATATATATATATATATATATATATATATATATATATATATATATATATATATATATATATATATATATATATATATATATATATATATATATATATATATATGATGACACTATACTCCGGGATATCATCCGTTCGCTCGTTGAACTCCGACTGGAATCCTGCAGACGTTTCGCCAAAATCTCACTTGGCATCTTCAATGCTCGCGCTCCGAAAACACTTTGAACACTGTTTTCGGAGCGCGAGCATTGAAGATGCCAAGTGAGATTTTGGCGAAACGTCTGCAGGATTCCAGTCGGATGCAGGATTTGCAGGATTCCAGTCGGATGCAGGATTCCAGTCGGAGTTCAACGAGCGAACGGATGATATCCCGGAGTATAGTGTCATCACATTTTTCCATCCGTGAATCAATACGTGAGAATATATATATATATATATATATATATATATATATATATATATATATATATATATATATATATATATATACGGCGAATAATAAATATTATGTTGCTTTCCTCCCATTTTTAGATATAAAACCATTTTTACGAGTTCTGAATCAATAAAGCGACAACGACATCGTTATACAGGGGGTTATATAATGTTGTAGAGAAACTTTAACACTTCCATATTTTGGAGTTTACTTTAAATTTGTCGAAAAGGCTTGGAAATATCGAGATGAATTTTGAGATGAAATTTTCATAAACTAAAGTCGACATTTAGTTATACAAAAATATTTTCTAATGTTTAATACGAGGTCTGGTGTAACGATTTAATATGTCGATTTTCCGAGGAATGCTTGTTATTGTACCGACTATTAAAATAAATAGGATGAAAAAGTCCAATTCACACTTTCTAAGCAGAATTAGTTTGGCTTTCCGAAAGTGAAACAAAGTTTGTACAAAAAGCAGTGGTGTACAGTTTTTCGCTAAATGTTTCGTAAATGTTTTAGAACACGATTTTGTACATGTAAACGTGACCTTCGGTGAAATATTGACTTCTACCAAAATGCATCTCAACAACTCCACGCGTTTTCAGTACATTTTAAATATAACACTAGAAAAGACGGGAAAGTTTAAACACCCTGCATCATGAAACTAAATTATTTCCAGACTCGAGGTTATATGAATTTTTTTTCAAATTTTTAGATAAGGAATCTACCTTTAAATTTTCTTCATCAAATAATAAGAATAAAAATGTTGAAACCTTTTTGAATTATATTCAATTGTTGAACTGTAACTTTTCGGTAGTAACCAACCTAACTATAGGCGTCCTAGAAAATCGACTCCCGTTACTGAAGTTTATAAATAACAGAAATGCTTAGACCAGTTTGAAGGAAAAGAAGTGAAATTTAAATGAAAGGAGTAAGTGTATCGTATTAGGTGGCATAGATTACACTGCATATAATGTTACATAAAATATTACGACATTGATGTCACTGGAACTTGCAAGATCTCGGTTTAGAGGATTAAATTACGTTTTGCTTTGGAGAAATGTTATGTTTGTATCATTTCACTGCCTTAACGACTGAATCTTCTTAATTTCAAGGCTACTCGATTTATTAATTAATTTGACCTACAAAAATCTGCGAAAGGTAAAATACGATTTTCAAAAAACTTTTTCGTACTTTTCCATTAGTATACATTTAATATAATTTTTGAGCAAAAAATGAAGATTTCGTATAATAAAATAATATATGCGCCGGGTTGCGACGTTTATTTAATTTTCTAATTAAGTCAATACTTAGACCATTTCTTATTTCAAAAATGTCATATGGGCTGTCTCACAAAGCGACATTGATTTTTCCACTGATTTTCAAAGCGTTAAAAACGATAGCATTGATCACAACGCAATTCTGTTGAATTTTATTGCCAATCATTAGGCAACTTACAAAACATCGTGACGCATTCGCGGCCATCGATCTTAACTAACGTAAATGTTGAAATCGGTGTTTGTTTATTATATAGTCAGCGGCAGATCGACTAAACTCTAGAATTTAATAAAAAGGCATCAAAAATAGCTTAAAATGAGAAAAATATTTAAAACATTGAAATTTTGTTGTTCATATAATGTAGATCATAATAATAAGAAAGGAAAGCTATTCTCCATTTTTCGTTGATCTGATGTTGTCTTCGCAGAATCTGTTACAACATGTTCTACGGGATCTAGGTGGGAAATTGAATTTTCTGGATTCTAGATAATAATGTCATACCATATATTATTAGAATTTATTGACGAATATTATATTTATGATGATCGTAATAAATTAAATACTTTTTAGCAAGTATTATTATAGTTAGTGATTAGCAGCATTTACGGTGCATCCACCGTGATGTCATTAATTGTTTTAATCAAAAATTTATTTCATTATTTAATGACAAAAACAAATTTTTCATAATAAACAGATCGTAATAAGCAAATATACAAAAAATAAATATATTATACTACACAATATACTCTACAAACAATTAAAAGTTAACTACATATTATAAATATTACTTATCTAAATTTTAACTAAACTACTTATGAAAGAAACAACAAATACTTGAAAAATATTCAAAAATGCATGATGGAAACATTAAAACTCGGACGAATTGAAAATGTCTTCCAAAACATCTACCATACCAAAAGTATCCGAATATTGCGCTGTTAGGGAAAAAATAATAAAGAAATTAACATAATGATTCACGAACAAATATGTGAACTACCTTCTATCGGGGTAAATGCTCCGTCTGTAGTCTCACTACCTATGCTCAAATATCCGCTTTCAAAACTCGTTTGCGGGACCATATCTAGCTGGGACACTGCCGCTGATTCTGGATGTGACAAGCTTGCTGATTGTGTAGCTGGGATTTCCAAATTAATAGAGGGCTGTGTGATTGGATTCGTCTTGAACTTATCTGTACATAGCGAAAAAGCACTATTAAATTAAACAGGTAGTGAGACACATTAATTTTCTTAATGATAAAAACGTCGAAAACCATTAAGAAAATATTCCAAGAGTACTACTTACTTGAGGAGGAAGAACCCCTTCGCTGTTTAACGTTCGATTTCAATATCACATTTACTATGTCCTGGCGATTTTGCAAGTTGGCTATTACCAATGCTAGCAACACCTTATGCTACAGTTTTAAATACCGCTTTAATATAATTGAAATAATAAAACTTAATTTATAATAAAATCAATAATATTCACAGTAGGTTAAGATAAGCTTTTGAATAAATTAATAATATTACAAAAAACAAATAACCCTTTATAGTCTCTCAATGCCTGGTTACATCCGTAATGTCAGATTAAGATGTCAATGTTATATTTTTGATAGTAGTTCATAATAATATTTTTTTTAGTAAATATATTTTCTTTTGAATTAGCTAATCCTTTCAACTTTCAGCTTTCTACGAATACAAACATGACCGTAATAAATATTTTTATGGACAAAGAATAACGGAAATGATTTGATGAAATTTCTGGAAGCCCACTAAAGAGTCATAGTGAATTACCTTGTATAATCCCGGACTAATGCAGAAACATATTACAAATAAACATGTGAAAATGAATTTACATTGCAATACATTTCCATTTTTAGAGTTGACGTACTTGTTAAACGTTGACATTTTCGGTTGCTGTCATTGATGCAACATTTTCATATTATGCTCCCCAAGAAAATATATGCACTTTTTTACCATTCTATTATGGTCAAACACTTTGCCTACCTTAAAATTCGCAGGCAAAAGCATTTCCTGTGCTTCTATTTGTAATTGCCTATATGACATTTTCGCAAACGGATTTGTTGATTTCTTTTTGTTGATCACTTTATTTTTGTTGTACTTAAAACCAGTATAACGCATTTTGACAATTAGATGAATAATGAAATATCAACTACACAGCTGACAAACGAATCTGTCATACGTTCAGTTACGTATTCAAAGGTAATGCGATATTTGATAAGAAATGTTATTTGTAATACTGCCTGATTTTTTGGAGTAATTTTCGCGGGATGCCTCTCCGGGTAGTCTAATAGATTATTCTATTTCGAAATTTGGATTTATATTTCTTTAAAATTCTTTTCAAAAACTGAAATTTTGGAGGCTTGTCACTATGTGAACAATTTTCTTACACGTATATTTCACTCAAACGTAACTAGGGTGCATAGTAACACATATTTCAATATTAATCTATAGAAGGCTGTTCTGCTATTCTCCTTAAAACTAAATCGCAAATCCTAAATTTCAAATTATATTAAATTTCAGTAAAGAACTGGCAATGTTATAAAGTATTATTTCAGAAAACTAAAAACGTGTGCTAAAATTTGAACTTACCTACTTTAATATTAGACAATCTAATTATTTAAAACATTTATTTATTGTTTTAGATGTTTCCTTGTTTCGTGAATTTTTGAAATACATGAAATGTACAGTCAGTTTAATCCAATTTGACACGACACATTGCTTTAGCAACATAAATCTAAGCGAGTCCAAACAATTGACATGACATTTAATTACTAATGAGAGATCTACGTTACAAAATTGTTATTATTTGACTTATTTGTATTTGATATTTTGATTCCTTCTTTTTCTCTTCTTTTCATTGATTCATTGTATGTTTTTGTTATTTTTCGTTTATTCTCGAGTTATATTTTATTAAAATATATAATTGCATTTTATTTCTTCTAACTGGTTTAAACTTTGCAATTTGCTATTTTCTGATAAAGACATTATTATTACTATTATTAACAGTTTTTCATCACATTTCATGGTGAGTTATATTTTGGCTGTTGGACTATATGATCATATTAATTTGTATTTATGTTTTTTTAATATTCGTCCCGAGTTTATTAAAAAAAATTCTAAGAGTCGCAGTAGGTTAATAAATAGATTAACTAAAAAGTTTTCTTATTATTTAAAGAAAAATGAATTCTTACCTTAAAATAGCGAAATAATGGCAAATTTCATTAATTAAAAGCTGTTTTCTGACCAGATTTGCTCTAGCATGGTAATCCATTACATGAAAGTGCTCTGTCCGTCACAAATATCGGCCCCCTTCTCATCCAAACAAAATATTTTCATCAATCAATCATACAAAACAAATTACCGTTGGTCCCCACGTCCTTTTGATTGCCAAAAACTTCTCATTGGCTTTTTGGGGTTCATTTAATGCCCATTGAGAACAACCGTATAGGACGCATTATCGATGAATCCAAAAAAGTTCGTTATCCCTCAACGCTGACTTTTATTTTTATCGAGATTTTTCGAATTCGGTTTAACATAAATCGATATTTTGCAATTATTTTCAGCTGAAGTTGCCGATTAAGCCGTTAAAAGCTTTCAGGAGTTAATTACAAATTGGATCGTGACGGAACAAAGTTTTTCAGAATTATAAAGTTTCTCTAAGAAAAAGGGAACTAATATTTAATTTTGTTACTGTATTGTTAAACTGGGGAGAATAAGTTTCGTGCCAAAACGCGAATTCCAAATAATTTAAAAATTCATGTCGGTACATTAAGAAAAATCTTTTTAGCAATTATGAAATTTATGTAGTTTTTTGTTAGTATGATGGGGTATGAGCTAAATGGAGGTGGATACAAAAAACTGGGAGGCGTGTCTCTTTTTTTTTAATTAAACCTCGTATTGGGTGCCGGGAACCTGGATCTGGATTATATTAATTATATTGATGTGGGCTAATGCGACAGCAGAAATTTTTATTGTTCTGGGATAACCTTAAATTTTTATTCAGGTAAAGAAATGCAAATAGAAATCGCATTACACAGCCCCAACTGACAAAAAACTGACAAATACAGAAACACAAGCAAAAATATTGAAAATTGGTCCACCTGATGTAGAAATTTTAGAAATTAATAGGTATATAAAAAAATAATATTTGAATAGAAGGAAAGGAGGTCAATTGTAAAGGATATGTTTTAAATTAGGTTCCAAGGTTTCTGGATAGACCTGACACCCTAAGTTTATATATTTCGAATTTTTTGGCCATTAAAAATATTTTCCAAAAAAATTCTTGAGTAAGTAAATCTTCAAAACATTTGTTCCTAAATGTACTACTACAACAAAAAAATACAGCAAGGAAAGTTGACTTACTTTATCTTCCAAATTGTTTGATAAATAAATTAATCTCTACTGTAATTTTTACTGAGGCTATTGTTTTTAATTTATCACACTTTTATAAATTACATTTTTTGAACATAATATTCGGTAATAACATTTTGTGTGAAAAACCAAAAATTAATATTACTTGTGTTACTTTTACAAGAAATGAAACCGTAGCACCAGGCATTATTCTCGCTCATGGTAAAATTTTTTCACCCAAAAGTACTTCAAAGTCTTGATGCCTTGGATATGTTATTTAAAATAGACTTTGATCTTGGTATAACTTATAATGAGACGCTTTCCGTTCCTTTTTTAAATTCTTACAATACTTCCTTTATGGAATGAAATTTCTGGTAATTTGTATTGGTCACTTTTTTAACTTGTAAGACCCACTGCATTATTAATTCATTAATAAATTCTTATTGCCCTGTTTTCAGTAAAAGTTGTTTTATTTGTTGTATTTATTTTAGTTGTTTTGGAACTGATTTATATTTTTGATACCTAAAAGAGGTTTTCGTGTTAAATATCTATTTAAAATAAATAATTTTAAGAAAAAACATTTTAATTCACATCCTCATTACCCTGCTTGGGTATAAGTAAACTAAATCCCTTTACCCTCTTATCTCTTGTTTTCGAAAAGGACTTGAAAATAAGCTTAAATGGTCCAACAAAACTTTTAGCAACATTCACATATATACACTATTAAAAAAAAAACAGGAAACTTTTAGGAAAGTGCGGACTCTCTTGCAAATGTGTTTTTTTTTTAAATTTGTTTTGAAAAACCACAATTCAATTTTTCGCCTTTTTTCAAAATTAAAAAATAAAAAAAAGTCAAAGAAACTTCCACAGGCTATTGTAATACTTTTTACAAAACTTCTGGATTTCTCCTGCGTCGGTTTTTGCTGAGTCGAAATTGCTGACGTTTCGCCAATCATCCTGTTGGCTTCTCCTTCTTTTGACTCAGCAAAAACCGACGCAGGAGGAATCCAGAAGCTTTGTAGAAAGTAAAATGAGAAATGTCGAGGTGCATAAGTTTGTATATTAGCACCATTCGGTGTATTCTATTTATCACTCTTTTGGGTAAATTACACTAATAAATAGTAATTTAAGAATAGATTACACTGCTATGTGTATAGTTATTATAAATTAGCGTCATAGTTACACGATGTGGTGAGTTATGTGAAATTGTACCTTCAAGTTACCAAAATCCTCGGTGTGAAATATACAGAAATTGGTGTGGCCTTATATGCTTTACTTAAAGAAATAAATGAACCCGAAGCTATATTTTAGTATTGTAAGTGATTGAGAATTGTTCTTGGAAATGTTTTAGAGCGATTGAGTATCCGCCCATACGCCCCACCCGGTATATTGTATCAGACGCACCCTGCTATGCCTTTATAATATTTTCACAACATATTACGAAGTTTACACTTTAATCTCCGACGGCATAGTAATATTGCTTCCAAAAATAGTGTGGAGCGGCATTAATAATTTTCTGCAAAATGCTCAAGGATGCCAAATATATCGTAGCGTCAAGGGAGGGCAAGTTTAGAACATATTTCACTTCCGTGTCCAGGATTTACGTTTTTCAATTAACTGGGAGATTTTAATAGTATATAGGTTAACCGCCTAATTACGAGTTAAAAGAGCTTCAACAGCTTTTAAAGATGATGTGTTGCAGTTTGCACATTATACAGTTAATACAGAAACCGGATCAAAAAAGTGATTCGACTCTTAAATTGCCAAGTTATTTGCTTATTGTTATCCAAGATATGAATAACAAAAATCTGCTATTAGAAGTTCTGCAGAATTAAACAGTTTTTTTTAATTATTTATTTTGTTATTTATTATTTTCAATGGACGATTAGCCCACTGAGTTTCACAATTTGTTTTTAGTTCGTTTAGAACGGGTATGTACAATAACTTATCATATAAATTACCAATTAAGTTGCTACCAGCTGCAACTTGATGACATTTTCCTGACATTTATTTGTGAGAATTCCAGAACTAGTGAATCGATTGAAAAATGACTTTTGAAATAATTTACAAACTTTTGTTAATGACTTTTTTCCTATAATGAACAAGCCCAGAAAAGAAAGACAATTAAAATATTACAAAACTCTAGCTGAGCTAACTCTCATATACAGAAGGGAGATATGTATAAGGACCAAGAAAGAAGATAGCAGAAAACAGTCTTAAGCTAAGGAATGTTTAAGAAGAGTGACAAGTTGAACAAGAAGGGAACAAACAAGAAATGAAAAGAAAAAAACGCCTAATACCTGAAGGGGAGATGATGATCCCTTTTAGGTCAAATTAGTCCATCTTCTATCTCATAATCTTATATACATTACCACCTTACCTTTTTTGGCTATTTATAAATTAGTCCGCTGACTTCAAAATCAGATATTTTACTATTCATTTTTAATCTTAATTGTATGATTTATAACTCCAAAATTTTCTTAAATTACCTAATATTAGCACTATAATTCCACCAATGATCGATGGAAACCATCGTACTTCCACTAATTATGGATTTTAATTCACAATTATTTTAAAGCGATTTTGTTTATGACAAAGAACAACGAGGTTTATTTAGATTTACAATTTCTAGTAGGCACAAGACATTTATTAGAACAAACTTTGCCAACAACTGTCTCATGTAACTAGAATTCTAAGACACGCGTAGGTCAACTACCTCTTCATTTACAGGCCACTCTCGCGATTGTTGACAATCAACATAGTTACAATACTGCCCCTATGAAATATGACTCAGTAATATCTGTTTTTCATACAGCAAAAAGTGAATTAATTAAACCTATCAACAATTAAACTGAATTATAAATACATTCACGTGTTGGGTTATAAAAAAACGCTTTTACTTAAACATTTGCGCCATATCACATTTGGTATAATTTTTAACAATTAAAATGTCAAAAATAGGGGAGCGTTTTTAACGAGCACGTGTAAAAGAGAAACATATGTATATAACGCAAACGTGTGTTTGAAATCTCGTGCATAGTACGTCAATGATCTAAGCTTCTTTCGGTCCGCGTTGATTCCGCTTCTCTGAAAGCTCCGAATACAACTTGGGCAAACAACGTCAGGGTAAATTTTCAGTAGGCTCGACTCCGCGATAGCGTGTGGCGGTTGGGCAACTAGTCGCCGATGCTGCGATCTCCGAATTTCTGCACTTAGACGTTCACCAACAACACATTTTCACAGCGTTCTGATGCATAATGGGTATTGTTTTGCAGTTTTTTATGTGCCGTTTCGGCATTAGTTTTTGCCGCTTAGTTATTTTATTATTATTATATTTAGTTATCACCCCATTACTGCATGGTAAGATTAATGTTCACTTGTCATCGCATGCCGCATATTCGTGTTTATCTTTGTTGACGAATTGTGTGCAACTAGATTCTACATGCGTCATAATAAAAAAAATTCCAAATGATGGCTTCTTTAGCTAAATTGTTTGTATAGAAGAAAATTTGTATTTTCTAAATTAGATTATCTGGCAATATTAAATAAAAAATGTATTTTATCATTACAGCCGCATTGTGGGAATGCCACAATTTATTAGCATTTTGCCCATCTTAAAAAAAATAATTAAAATTACAGACATATTTGCAACTAAATCAAAGAAAACTACATTGAATTTTGGGGTCTTTGCTAAGGTATGTATGTAAATGTACCAACGCGCTACAGTAAAATTAACAACGCATACCGAAAAGCTTCACTTATTATTATGCATTTTACTGTATTGTTAAAGTATATTCAACAAATTAATCCAAATTCACTAGCAAAATTTTCAATAAATTAAGTATATTTCTCCCAGTTGTTTATCGGAATTGCAATAAATTTTCTATGACTGTATTAATGAAATGAAGTTAAATTTTAAATTATTTGTTAAAAAAATACGCTTAGATATGGTGGTCAAGTAACAAGTAAAGTAACTTATGCATTGCACGCATCTGTCGTTATAAACAAAAATATATTATCCAAACAGTTTTCCTATAATAAAGTATAATATATAAAATAGAAAGGAAACAGTTTTTGTTGAAACGAAATTAATATAGTACAATATTGTTGATACGAATTTGAGATTCACAAACACTGTTTTTGCTATTAGCCGTTAAAATAGTATCGAAACAATCTTATTAGAAGCTGTTTTTGTACAGAAATAATTTTTGTCATAAAAAGGAAGTTTCTTTCATCAAGGATATTTAGCATTATTTTTGACCAGTTTCATTCAGATGATACCCAATCAAAATGCATTAGTTAACAATGCGAATTATCTTTTAAAAAGAAGTTTTTTTTTTAATTTAATTTAATGTTATATTAATTTTATTTCTGATTTTAACAGTCGAGTGTAGCTGAATACAAAAGTCATGTTCCCTCTTTCCTTACACCGTTGCTCCTTTGCTGTCATAATCCCCTGCGTGCTTTAATATGAATGATAAAAAGCGCAATAATTAAAAGCGAGCTTCTTTAATGAAACCTCACAACTTTCGACATCGTCACTGAAAATACCACAAATCGACGTTATCAACCGTGCAAATCATTTTATTCGATTTGGTCAAATTGAACGTGTGCACTTTGGCGTGTGTATTGTTTAATTCCTAATTACGTAATTAAAGTGATTTCGGTTGATACAAAATGCCTACGAGAAAGTGCGATTTTTTTCCATTTCTCTGATACACCAGTCTTAAGCGTATTTATCCCATTAATTACATATTCACACGTAGTATATGTAATTGCACTCTTTTTGATTTAAGAGAACGTTATACAGCTCGTTTTGAATTTGAGATATGCCGTTATCGATTATTTTTCTAAAATAGACACACTAATTTTTATTATAACACTTCACTTCACATTTTTATTCTGTATCATTGAAAACATGATTGGAAGAATGAATTCGATTTTTGTGCTATTTTAAAGTGAAATTTCAAAAGGTATTGGCTTGCCATTTTTATAAAAACAATTATAACACTGTTATTTTGGTTGTCTGTGTTAATACCAAAATGGGCATATTTAAATGAAAAAAGCAAACATAATTTAAACATTTTTATATAAAATCTCATTTTTATATTATAATTATTATTATAATTTTTTTTCTGAATGTTACAAATAAATTGTTTAATTAATTTTATTTACTGTTACTCATTTTTCCATTATTTTTTTTTAGGAAAACGTATAGAAAATATGTAATTTTCTTACAATTTTAAAAATAATGTTTTCCTTATATTAAGAAATAGTTAATTCTTAGATTAATATTTAACTTTTTTTTTAAATTTTTATGATATTTTCGTGTAGAATTATTTTTTTAAAATTCGTGCAATGCTATAACAGTATGCCTCTTCGGGCAGCCTTTTGGATGTATAGAAAATTAAATGAAACAGATATAAGTTGAGATGAGCTTTTTTAAACTTTCAAATCAATTTATTTGTGTCGAAGAACGTAGATTCAAATTGTTAATAAAGTTCTTTCATGAATATCCCGAACAATATTTTTGTCAGTATTCCATTGTCACTTTAATACTTGTTAACTGCAAATTTTATCAGAGGGAATCGGCAATTATTCATGTTTTTTTGAGCGGTGCTCAATAATTGAACACAATTTTAAATTTCATTGAAACCGGACAACCATTTTGAACCGCCGATGATTGGCACCGCGCTGGGATATCTTGTAATGGATTTTTTTCATTAAACTTTATTTCAGGCTGTAACACATGGAGCGATTAATCACGTATACCGTTGGTCTTACTAAAAGGATACCCATTTTTTTGCCATAATTAATAATCTAGTTATTTTAATTAAAAGTGCTTGTTGTAGCTTTGCAATTTAGGTTGCTATCGGTCGCATTTATCGTTTATAAATTAATAATAACGGAGAACCACGTACGCAAATTTATTTGACGATGATAAATCCTACAGTTTTCATAGATTTTATCCACCCGAAACCAGTGACATTTTTAGAACAATTACAATCCGCACTAATAATAAATCATAAAATTGCGTTACACAGTCGAAAGCTTTTATTGAAAGGGTTAATGGAAATTTTAAACGAAAGTATCCGGTTGAAAAATTTTGGTCGTAGAGATTAAATTTTTATCGTATATATAACATATCAATTTGTAGGCAAACGTTTTTGGGAAAAACGTCAGTGCCGTTTATAACGATACAGAAGTTCGATCCTGACAAGGGAATGAAAAGTCTATAAAGCACCTTTTTAAAGCGAGATATGTTTAAATGTTTGATTTTGATTGATATTAAATACGTCGATATAAAAAAGTTCTCGAATCTAATACAATTTAACAATCGAATATAACCAACGTATAGTTATTACGATCAAATAAACTTTAGCCCAGAATAATAAACCGCGAGTTAATAAATCGTTTCAAAGTAACCAGAACATAGGATAATCCCAAGTTTATTTTTGTTTTCACACCTTTCAATTACGCTGTGGAAATGTAAAGATTTGTTTATAAGTTCTTATTGCGTCACGTTTTAATTTAACTGTTTGGTTTCGCGAGGGCTATAATTCAGTTTACAATCGAAAATATGGGTTCAATTGTAACAGAGGTACAAAATGAAACAGTTGACAGATATTACCGATCAATAAATAAAATTGTTTTGGATTTTGGTATATCACACAGTTATACTGTTTATTCCACTGTTTTTCTACAGTTTAAGAGTGCGTTCAAACAAAAATATAAATTAATACCATAGGACAAACTACAAACCAATATATTTAATTTGTTTTAAAATCGTTGTTATTTATTTCAATAACATGGTTATTTGAGTAAAAATTTTGTAAGCTGTAAGACTTTTTTTGGCAATTTAACGGATTATTAAAAAAAAAAGATAATTGAGTATTCTTACTATTTTATCATTTTAGTTTTTTTTTTCAAATCTGATCGCATTTAGCAGAGTAAACTGAACGTAGGTGACTAAAGTTATGAATTTAATAATAATATTTTCCAAACATTTCTCGTACTCAACAAGCATAAATTTTATTTCAATTATGCAGAATAAGGTAAGTCTTAAACAATTAAATTAAACAATCTACAACTGGAAAAAATATAGAAGAGCTACCTACCTAGTAGTGATTTTGGCACCAATAAAATTGCCTTGTGCCTCTCTGCTTAATTTATTCATAACACAATTCTGGCAATTTTGGAAACATCCCTCGTACATTTTCTCTTCGTCTATTTTAAAAATTATAAAAGCTGCTCATGGACAAATCTAGCAGATAATTAAAATTTCTGTTTTTTTGAAATATTTTCTGTGCTATTAAAAACTATTAAATAAGATGATTAACGAATGCGTGTTTCTACTTTATCATTTGTTACTTGCGAAACTTAATTCACTTTTTTAATTAGAAATGACGAACGTCTGTGGTTTTTTCTATTCAACTGATCAATTCCCTGTTTAATCCATTTCGCCAGAATGAAAATCGAAGTGTGAACAAAGCGATAATTGAAATACGACGTAGTTGCGCAGCGGAAGTATATCATTCATGTGTATGGAATCTGTCATGTAAATTAAGGAACCTTGTCCCTAGCAGGGAAAATTTGTGAATTATTGCCGGCCGAACATTTCCATGTTAATTCATAAAAAATGCCGGTGTGGCCCACCATCAAACTTCATTGCCGCTTGTTTTCTATTTTCGATGAAACAAAGTTTAAATCGCGATTTTTCTCTCTTTTGTCCACTTCAAAATGTCCCGCTTGTACAGAAAAAACTGGGCCATTGTGTTGCGCTGACGTGCTCGCAGGGCTATTATTTATTGTTGAGCCATAAAGTTATTCTGATAACGGAGCTAAAAATAATACAAACCTTCCCACGCAATAAGTTGATCATAATACCAATAATTGCAGAAGTAATTTGAAATTCCTTTGACCATGTATAATACCTATTTTTTTAAAACCATTTATTTTCATACGATTTATATTTATCCATTAAAGGAGAATACTAAATAACACATTTTTGTTGAGGTAATTTACTTATACTATGCATTTAATTGCAAAGGAATGCTTTATACAATACTAATAAATACTCGAAGGTATATTTTGCAATGGATTTTCCATTGATAGAAGAAAACTAATGAATACTTCGGTCTATTTAAGCAGCGTTTGAATAGAACGCCTTCACCGGAAAATATTAATTCTTCAGTCAAGACGATGAATTGTCCATTAAAAAGTTATGCACTGGGAGATACATTATATATATATATATATAT